ATAATTGCTTGATATAATCAAGCTCTGTATATCTCTCTTTACATATTGGAAAAAATAGACTTATTATTGGGGAACACCCAAATGAGAAAAAACTCCCCTTTGTCATATATGTAGAGGCTTATTAGTTACCTACATCAATTATGCATTGATATGTCATATTGTTTTTTTATATAAAGAATATCCCATAATAAATTGAAGCTAAAAATATTGACAGCCCAATATGACTCATGGAAAAATAACCTCCATACAAAGGGGTTTCCGAGGAAATTCTAGGGGAAAGGCCGTCCTATGAAAAAATGGTCAAGATATAAAGGAAAAAGGATAGTTTAATAAGAAGAATAGATATTATAAGTTTTTTTATTATATAAATGCTAGTAATTATTATTTTGTACAACACTCAATTGCGATTATAAATTAAATTATTTATTAGTATTCATATAAAATACTTGCATTTCATATATTTTGACCTTTTATGTCCTCTAATTACCTCTCCATGACCATTTTTTCTTTGTGTATTTTAGGGATCTTTTTCCCGAGTATATTAAAATATTGATGTTTCTTATGACATAAATACATGGAGCATCGATAACTAGGAAGGAACTATATTCTTTATTTATAGTCAGCTGAAAATTCAATTCATTTAGACAATAATGAATATGTATTTATTTATTATTTGTTTTATGACTGACTGATTGAAACTTGTGATGTCTATATAAAAAATAGACAATCTAAATAAATAAAATATCAACTCCATCTTTTTCTTTGTTTTTAACATCTCCTGCATTGGCCGATATTTCCTTCATCGATCTTAGGTATATCAATTTCATCCATGTATTCTTAAATGCCAAAAATAACGCATAACAAAAGCCTGATTTGTATGGGTACTTTTTGTACACGGAGTACAATAAGTACTAAATGTACATAAATCATTAAAAAATATATAAATTTAAGTTGTGACATACAAATGTAAAATATTTTGATTGTTTTCAATTAGCCTTGTTAACATATCAATAGATCATTCAAATGCACCAAAATAAAAGAAAACAATATAATAAAAAGAAAAAGAAATATATATATAGAGAGAGGCTCATACGACAGAGTGCTTATTGCATCCTAGTTGGTTTTCTCTGAATTGTTTCAAAAATTTTGAGTGTTATAATAAAATAAAGTTATTCGATATCTCCCACAAAGTCCCACTTCGCATTTCCTCAAAGCACTCAACATTGTTAGTGTGAGCGCCTGTCAAAGGGCCCACAAAGATTCATCTATTTGGACCACAACGCCCGGCCTCCAATCTTGCGTGCGCTGAGACTCAATTTTCGTGAAATCCCGGAAAATTGAATACCAGCGCACAGCTGATACAGAGCTTATGCCCAACACCTGGGGAACGGTTTTGACTGGCATTTTTTGGGCCCACGCCCAAGCCAAGCGGATCGTGTCGGGAAACGAGAGATTGGAATTTGTCCATTACGGAACCACTCCTCTCGTTAATATTTTTGTATTTTTTCCACCGCTTTTCTCCTCCCCGGTACTTGGACAGAGACATTGGTCGATGGCATGTAGTACATGCGGGCAGATAAAATCTTAGGTAGCCTCATATTTGGTGGATTCTATATCACTCGGCACTTCTATTATTTCTTTCATGGACATGGTTATTTTAAATGATGAGTTTCTTCTCCTCCTTCCCTCTTTTCTCTCTCTTTTATTGAGTATAGCTTATTTTATAACTATGGACTTTTAAAGTGAATAAAGGAGTCTCTGGAAAAGGTGCCACTTCTTAATTATAGATATTAAAAATGTAGTTTCTGTATCAATTACAGCTAGTATTTTCTTATCATTGAAAATTGATCTTAGAGGGTAGGTTAATAAATATTTGTCTTGTGAAATCTATAATATCATTGCCATTATAGTATCCCTAAAAACGAACATCTTTTCAATTCTTCCTGTTTGTTTTTGTTGAGTGCAGGATCCCATATTAGTGGGGCGGTTTAGCTCAAAATTTCAAAAGGATTGTGCACTTTGTGATACAAGCATAAAATTTGGCACAAATGTACATTGATATATGGCAAACATTTTCAGATATTGAGCCACTCGGAATTCTCCCTTCATGTCCGCCATATTGGAATTAAAAATGGCCACCATCTTGTGTCTAAATGTGTGTTTTTGGGGCAAGAAATCTAATGGAAACAATCTGCATCGCATATTTTGTACCAATGTGCCGCCATATTGGATTTCAAAATGGCCGTTGATTGAAATTTACATTTTCTATTATCTTTGGGTCCAATACTACTATTGACTCGATTCTGGTGTCTAAATGTATGTTTGGGGGCAAGGAATATAATGGTAACAATACATGACAATATCCATTTTCAAAATGACATCTTTATTACAGTACTTCAATTAAGTCATGAGAGATGAACATTCATCATCATGTATTTTACATACTTTGAATTTGGACATAAACAGTGTCATGTTAACCAGTTCAGCACTGCCACAAGCAAATGAATGTTGTGGACTCCTCTTCATGTGCAATCCCCTTCACACACACAGAGGGCTGTGCACTTAAGGGCAGCCTTCTTGCACTTGCAGCGTCTCACACACCCTTTCTGGCACTTGCAAGAAACCAGGTCGATGCAGGTGTGAGCTGCCTCAGGTAGCCTGGTCCAGAATGGTGTGTATTGTCTTCCAGTCATTGACCAACCCCAGTTGGTTGGTGGTGGGAGTTCTGGTGCTGGCAGCAGTATCTGACCCCACACATGTCCACCTTGATATACTGCCCTTTTGAAATGTTCCTCTAAAGCTGCATTCGTCGGAGGGATCAACTGCACATTGTCCTTCCTTGCGAAGAGTTTTTGCCTGGCTTTGTCAATATCCGTGCATTTGCTGGTTCGGTCATACAACAGGATCACGAACCTCTCGATGATGCACATTGCATCATTTGGTATGCCACTTGGTGCGGAAGAAAGCTGAATCAGCGCCTCAGTTAATTCTGGCAGTACTGTCCAGACTGCCCATGCGGTCTTCTTGCCATGTCTAGCAAAGCTTGACACAGTATCGCATCCAGTTAGAGCATGGAACATTGGCAATGCTAACAGTTAGCTAATTGATCTATGCTAGCTACTTCTCACCACATATCACTAACAAATTTACCTTCAAAATATAGATTTGCAAATAAAACGAATTATTTACAGTTTTAGGGTGGTCACCCCACATGATATCAAAATGTGACGTATACACTGAAGCAGTTAGAAAGAGGATTTATTTGTAAAAGAGAGAGAGACTACTGACCTGCAGTTTGTATGGAGTAACTGGCTGATGCAACTTTGAGATGATTGTCAATATAAAAGTCCCTCAATTGTATTTTTTTCATGGTCACCCCAGATGATAGTTCAGACAATGAACATATTTGGACAAGATTAGTTTGTGTATTATGATTGAAATGTGTGTACAAATGTTTCATAACTTTGTCAATAAATCTAAAACAAGTTTGAAAGTATGCCCAATAGGGCAAGCATTATTTTTAAATTGTTTTTATGTGATTTAAAACCAGTTGTCCAAACAGAAGTCAAGGCCGGACGGTCACCCCACATGATGTTCACACTTCAGATGGCAAAAAATGACCAATAACCAACATGTTTAATTAAAATAAGAGTGGGCACATGTAGCAGGAACGTATTAGACATACATGTTATATTTTTTATTCATTTTTATGTTTAATATTAGGTAAAAAGTTCCATCGGACAGAAAAAGTAAGCGTCACGTCTTTGACCCTACTACATTCAAACCATATTCAAATCCAAGATGGCGGCTCAGTGGCAAAAAATATTCAATACATATTGTTACCATTGGATTCCTTGTCCCCCATAACATACATTTTGGCACCAGAATCGAGTCAATAGCAATTTTAGATCCACAGATAAGCGCAAATGTAGATTTTTAATGGCAGCCATTTTGAATTCCAATATGGCGGACATGAAGAGAGAATTCCGAGTGGCTCAATATCTGAAAATGTTTGCTATATGTCAATGTACATTTGTGCCAAATTTGTTGCTTGTATCACAAAATGCACAATATCCTAGCTATGCTGCCCCACTATATGACTATTAATTGAATTTCTAGTTTTTCATCCAAGGTGGGGTTGTATAAAACATTTTTTTCCATAGCTTCAATCATAAACCATTTAAACGATACTGGGTTTTTTATTCTTTCTACATGGGATGCCAAACACATGTTGCGATTTCTTAGAACACATGAATCTGTTTAAATCATATTTTTGGAACTTTAATTCTTTGAAAACAAATGAAACTAAGCAAGACGTGAGGTGACGGCTCATCACTTTGTAGACGAAGAGATCTTCATGAGAAAAAAACATACCCAAACTAGACGGCATATATACCCTCAGAGAGTGCAAACTCCGCCGTCATGAGCCTTCCGAGGCGGATTTTTCACGACTGGGGAGGCGTAGAGAGAAGACGGGGAGGGTTCCCCTAGACGGAAATTTCGAGAGGAAGACGCTCCCGGCACCAATTTCACAGCACATCGACATCTATTGGCAGAGGTAGGCTAACTTGAAAAATTTTTTAGTAGTATTAGCTCATTTGGCGCCTTAATTCTGCAATCAGAGATGCCAAAATTTAATCACTTCTTCCTTTTGGCACTTCCAACGACTCCACAAATTTCATCCAAATCCGTTCAGTACTTTTTGAGTTATCCTGTGACAAACCAACAAACCAACAAAACTAACAAACCAACAAACGCCAGTGAAACAATACCTCCTTCGGCGGAGGTAATAAAATACATTGTCTACAAAAACAAACGGGAAGAATTGAAAGATGTTGTTTATTAGGGCTATAATAATGATATTATAGATATCACAAGACAAATATTTATTAACCTACCTTCACAGATAATTTTTTTAAAGATAAGAAAATGGTGGATGTAATTGGTAAAGAAACTACATCGTTAATAATATTTGATTTTCTATTTTCTACCGGCATCAAGCGTCGGTGGTATAATGGTCAGCATAGCTGCCTTCCAAGCAGTTGATCCGGATTCGATTCCCGGCCACACGCATGCCTTTATCTTTATATTTAAATCTTCTATTTTTTATATATTATTTATGATATTTATAAGGGATACTTTCGACACCCCTGAAAGAAAATGTCAAAAATTCGTGCCGACTAACATCGTAAATACTCTTAATAAATGTGTTCTTGAGGTTTGAAATATTTAAATTGATATGCTATGAATATTGGTCTTTTTAAGAATCAATTCCTATTATAACTAAGGCTTCCATATTATAAACAAATAATATGATGGTTGAAGATTAAAGTCAAGGGGGAAACTTTATTGTTACAGTATCGTTCTTATATTTTTACTATATATTTTCGTCTCCTCCAAATCTGCAAATTTAAGCTTGAAAATAGAAATTTTTACACATTGAACATGTTTATTACATTTTATATAAAAGTTCATCAACAAACGTTGGTGGTATAATGGTCAGCATAGTTGATCAGGGTTCGATTCCCGGCCGACGCAATAGATTTCACCGGTTTTCTTTTATACAAGCATTTAACAACACCAATCCAAACCATAACTTCAACAATAACAAGCTAAATTATTATTGGCAAAAGTGTTAAAGAAACATTCTAATCCATTATTAAATGCCGGACCCAAAATATATAGAGATAAGGTATATCAGACAGAAGGAGTTCAGCCTGCTATTTTATTAAAATATCTTGGGCAGACCTATAACCTCAAAATTCAAAATTCTAAGGAAATACATACTCTTTGTTTGTAACCCTATGTTAGTTTGACCAAAAAATCTCTTTTTTAATATAATATTTTAGACTGAAAAATATCCTATCCATTACCCGGTTCTATAAAAACCAAACTATCCAAAAAACACGATAAACTGAATTACCATTGGACATACGCTTAAATATTTAAATAAAGGACGCTAAGCTCCTTAATTGTACAAATATGTACTCTCTTGTATTATAATTAGTGAAGCCCCTTGAGAGAGTAATGTCTTTTTCTATAACCCTAATTAGTAATGTAGTTAATACAACAAAGTTAAAAACAACACCCAAACCCAAATCGATGCAATTGGATTCAAACGACAAAGGCCAAAAACTTCTGGAATAATTATTTTTAAATTTTGATATACTTAGTTCACACCGATTATGCTGTAATTGAATTAAATGTTTAGGGTTTTTACTATAATCTATATATCAGGAAACAACCGGGACACTTTTCTTCGCCGGGACTTAAATTTTTCAAGCCGGGCACAAACCGGACCGGGACTTCGTCGTTCCTTCGTCATTCTGATATTTTTTTTTGTCAAAAAGTACAACGCTACTTTTTAATTAAAAAAATATTTTCTAAAAATTCGTCATCACTTTCTAAATGACGAACGAACGAATATATATATATTTCTGGCCCAGGGATTTTTAGACACCGGGCCGGGACGTTCAAAAACCAGCCGGCAACCGGACCGGGCGGGTACCCGGTCGTTTCCTGATATATGTATATATAAACAAGTCATGATCGAAGTTCATATGAGGTTCCACAGCACAGTAAAAAACTGAAAACTAGGTTAGTAGGGATACCTACTAAGTGACTCAGTCTACCATAATTATTTGTTCAGGATATTGAAGTATCAATAAAAATAATTGTAGTGAAGCATTACATTTTAATCCCAATTCCGTATTCATTCTAACGCATAAACAAAACAATATTTCAAATACATTTTTTCAATAAACTGAAAAAGAAAAACAAGTATTTTGACAAAAATCAATTCGGTATGTGACACCAACCTCTTAAGCTCTATGGAAGTTAAATAAACAACTTTATTCAGTCCTAACAAAAATAGATGTATTCAAAAAACTCGTTGTTGCTTAAGATTAAGAATTAATGAAGGTCGTGTTTTGTAAATATTAATATTCAATATTAATTGTAGTTGACCAATACTAGATTTGTACTGAAAGAACATTGTTTCTCTATATTTTCAAAGGGTTTTTATTATAGGTATATAATTTTGTTAAATAAAATACTTAAGGGAGCGCAATAGCCGTGTACTTAAGGCGTGTTCAACTTTCAATGTTGGGGGCGCAGGTTCGAATACTCCCGAGAGGGGATGATCATTTTTGGTCTACCTCATTGATAAGATCCTAGGTTCGAAGACTAATTTTAATGCTATAATGCTCATTCATATACTGTCAGATGCACTTTTATCGAACCAAATAGGCAAAAAAACATAGCAAATTAAAAAAGAACATTGACTTTTTTCCTAAAATTTGCTATTTAGCATTTATAATGAAGAAGCAATATAGTTTTCAATCATGAAGAATACTAATCAATCCCAACGAATTACCTTTTTAAGGCAACTGAATTGTACTTAATAAACATAATAACTATTAAATGGAAATGATACATAAGAAACTTATTAAAGAGGATAAACTTTAATATTATGTATCAAAAAATACTATTAGTATCTAGATTTGTTCGTTATTTTTTTTAATATCAGCATTATTTAGATTCGGACTAATGTCCAGGTCGTCAACTTTTAATACCCTTTAAGGTCTCTCGAAATATTACATTTCATTTTAGGTTCAGTGAGGGCTTAGAATGGATTTAACAGGTATGTAGAGCATTGACCGGGCCCACAATTTTCAAACTAAAAGTGTCTGTATCATTGACCAAACCCCAACAACTGCCTCAAATACACTCAAATCAAAGCTTGAACTATAAGATAATGTTGTTCGTTATTGTTACTTTCATTAAATGCTACTACGCCTTAGCGATATATTCATCTTAATATTTGAAAAAACTGACTTTCCATTCTGTAGCTTCAGCAAGCGTGGGTGATATGAGATTGATTTCCGAAAAAGAATGAAAAAAAAATATATTGTACAAGCGGTTTCTTGTTACAGACAAACAGAAAACTATATAAAAACGTTTCTAAGCATGGCTACAATAATGGCCTTTTGATTGTATATATCGTCGGGACTAAATATTCCTGCTGTTTATCACCATAATCAAACATTTGAATAAGATAAGGTCTTGGACGTTATTGATAAAGCTA